ACCGGTACTAGAACTTGAAGTGCTTGAAATAAGCGCCATTTGAAACAAATTTGCTCAAATTTAACCACAAATAAGCGCCACCATGACATGAAAGTGTAACAAAGTGGCGCCTAAGTGAAGACAAATACGGTACTTACTTTTAATGGAGCTGTAACTGATTCCTGAATTTCCATTGGAGGTGGTGCATTCTGTACCTGTATTAAAATAGCTGAGTCAGGTAAGATGTCTGGTTGGTATATCACTGAATCTACACTAGTGTCATGACAGGAAAAGTCTGGTTGGTATATCACTGAATCTACACTAGTGTCATGACAGGAAAAGTTGGCTGATTTTATGACTAGTTGTGGACAATTTTCTGTACATGCAAAGATGTTCTGGAAAGTAGCTATGGCATTTAAGATAACACATATGTCCTGCTTTTATATAATATTAATTATTTATCATTATGAATTAATAATTATATTATTGTGGTATCAAACACTCAATATGCACATGGTATCCTAGCAACCAGCGAACCAAACTCATTTTTGGTACTTAAAGCACAGACTACAGAAGATGTATTGTCAATGCCTAAAGCAATGGCTCCAATCAAACTACAAATCAATCACAAATATGTAATTGTTGAATAATGTAGCCTGAATAAACCACAAAGATTTTTTTTTTACTGGGGTCAGCAACGTATGCACACATGATTAAAAACAAACATATTATTTATATAGTACATGTATTTTACTTTAAGGTAGCGAGAAGGGAAATTTTCACTTTATTCTTGATTTTTCAAAAATTGATAAAACGGTTACTTTAGACCTTGATACATCATCCCAGGTTTACAAAAGATCGAAATTGGGAAACAACGCGTTTCAAAACGCTAGAAGAAAAGACTACAACTGCAGTTTCGTGAATATTTGCATAATGTTTATCTTTGGAAGGGTTTAAATGATAACATCTTATCTGTATACTCTGTTGTTGACGATTCTGATATAACGGGTGATAAGCTTTTCATCGCAAACAATGCGTGTTTATCTAACGTCCATTGTCAGCATTATTGTCAGTCGAGACTTCGTCTGAGAAATATGGGCATACCGTACTCATTTCGCCCAACCTTCGGCTTTTATATCGACCGCTTATCGCTTAATTTCCGACCATGCGGTCTTGCCCTACCGAAAACCGACCGCATTTTGATCGCGTTTTTTTTTGCTAGCTCGCTCATTGAAACACCGACCGCTCGCCCAAACACGGATCACTGGCATATGGGTGGTCGAAATGGTGGTTTTGATAGTAAAGTGTGAACATACAACTAGTATTAACTATTATTAAATTCTGAACGACACTTCAAATCTAATAATTGTATGACACTTGTATCGTGAAAGCAACTGAACTGTGACCTCTTGTTACGTGTTTTGGGTGCTTGTTCTAAATGTACTATTTTTTTATTATTTTAATGACTGACAGGATTCGAATAAAATAAAGCAAGCGATTGATAAGAATGATTATTAATATTTTCCCAGATGCTCTTCGAATTTTTATTTTTTATTTTTTTTATTTCAAGGTAAGAAATGGCTAATTGAAGTTGCATCGACTTCAAGGCGGCTGTTGCACCGCGAACAACTCTAGCTCTGTTGTAGTTTTGCGATGTAAAATAAAATATAAATTATTATAATAATAATAATAATAATAGTGCTTGTTTAATTATTTGGGGTTTCAGCCCACAAATTACGGACATGATCCCCATGAATTATGGTAAATGTTTGTCCTGTTTCGGCTAATTGTGTTGATCGACGCCCTTCCTAAACTCAGTATAGAGAAACCAACTGGGATCGACATTCCAAACAAATTATTGGGACACAGTAAACAGACATTCCAAACAATCGAAATTATCATCGAAAAACGAGATTTTTCTAGATATTTTCAGACATACTGTCATGAAAAACATATGTAAAATTAACAAATACACAAAGAGGTACAATATTAGGTTTTATTTTAGGCTTAGAAATATTTCCTTTCACTCAGCCCTTGCATGAAGCTGCCAATTAGCTTCATGGTCCTTCAGCTTGTCTTTGCCTTGGGGGAAAACAACAATAATTATACAAAACACATTGCGAAGACTCAACAATCAGGAAAGAAAACCAATACAACCATGTCGTACTTGTGTTGAAATACATTTTGTATTTCACGTCAGAATATTGTTCAAAATAAAATATTCAGTCCAAGCCAAATCGAGGTCAAAGGGTCAGATTGCGTGCATATAATTATGGATAGTTAAAGCAAAACGTATTTGAACTTTTGTCAGCTGTTGAACATTCATAAAAACCAGAAAGACAATTATAAGACAATGTGAACCTCGTAAATTTTTCTATTAATCCTAATTTCAAATGCGCGCGAGCGAGCGGGCGGGTGGTGATATTTCAGGGTTTGCGCGTTAGAAAATAAAGCGGAAATTGTCCGGTCGAATTCAACAAGCGGTCGCAAAAGCGAGTGAAAAGGGTGATTGGAAAGCGGAAGCGGGTGGGAGGTTGTGCGAAATAAGTACTGTAACTTTGCGCAACTTTCTTTTAAATCGTTTTATTTTCCAAGTCAATATTCTATTTCACTAATACCATTTTATCAGAGACACTTGAAGGATTAGCCTGTTTGTAAACTGTCAGCGTGTACAGTGGGACAGTAATGTTTGTCAGAGGATTATCCCTCGTCGTGCGTTTGCATAACAATGGAAACCCGAACGTTCCTGGAGTACGGACCCAAATGCCAGCAGTTTTCTTCATTTTTCACGCTCGAGCTTGAAATTATTCATTATCTGACACTCTTTATGAGTTCCATGATATCAGAGGTTAATATTTTTGACCATTTTTAGTGTATATTTATAATAATGCAGCAAATCTACAGTGTTTCATTAACCAAAACTGTTTTTCGCGTTTTTTCTCGAGTTGAGGCTTTGACTGAGTACGACTCATTGGGGCCGCCACCAAATGAAGTGCGTTCGGACTAGAACATTCAAACTCGCAGTTATCGTTCAAAAGATAATGATGGTGTGAAATATGTCTGGGTTTTTCAAGAAAATGCTTTGTCACAGAATAATAGTCTGTTAAAGGTGCCAAGTATAAAATAATTTGGGGACAAAAAAACAAACCCGCATAGAAATCGGAATAATAGGTCTTTTGATTACCGGGGACACATTTCAATGGACTTGATTACGGACAATGTATGACGTAATTTCACCAGGAAATTCTGCAGTGTGCTCTCGCAATCACGGACTTAGTCATTTTTACAAGGTTCGCCATTTTTGATGTCACGTGATAATTATGTAAACAATGACTGTCCAGTTTGTGCGAACTTGTACCTCTATACTTAGTCTTTTGAAATATATAAGCTAATTTACTGTTCTGAACGAGACAACAGACAGAGAATGTTTTATTCGAAAACGTCATAAAACCCTTCTCGCTACCTTAACAAGACTTTATGGTCTATGGTGATATATGATAAATGAGAAGCAAATTCTCGTGCTGTGCTAGCATTAAAAGTGATCCTATTCTGTGAGTACCAACCAAACATATTTTTAAACCAATAATGTTGCAGAACGCAGAGGATGCTTCGAAAGATTCGATTTTTATAAACAGAAATGAGCGAGATATAACAAAATGCACATACTGTGTAACAGACATTTGTATCACTCGCTAATTTGCATTACAATTTCCAAAAATAAATAGGTTTATCATTTTTAATCTCGCAATTTCTTCAATTCCCATGAATTTTAATTGCATAATTTAACAAAGCAGCATTTGTTGCAATCTGTAATTTTTTTTTTATTTCAAGAAATGGCACAGTCATGATGTCAAAAACAATATCTTAAAAATTGTTCATGTCATTCTAGTCATTCCATACATAGAAGGAAGTGAAAAAATTGGGGGGCTAATGTGAATAAAAATAAATATTTTTGACCTCATTTGCGTAAAAAAAATTTATTAATTTCCCCCAAACATATGACAAGGGAGAGTTATTGAAAATTTTGACCTAACCATAATCTTTAAATTTCTGAATAAAATATTTGAAAATTGTTCCACATACTGTAAAGAGGTTTTTTGAACAGTGTGAAATCATACAAGCAAAAGACGGTAACAATAATGACCAACTATAATGATTATTCAACCAGTCGAAAATTTAATTCTAAACATTCAGCTCGCTTAGAAAATAAGAATTTGTTCACGGTCCAATTAATGGAAGGATTTGAGTAAATCAAGAAGAACTGTAATCCACTGGGCTTCCCATTCCTATTACTTTCTGGCTGAGATTGTAACATGCTAGTATACAAATTCAGATATACGTAGGGAGAGCATATACAATTAAATTTGGTAGTGCTGGAGGGTAGGGGTAGGGTTAGGGTTAGGGTAGGGGTCGGGTGCAACGGGAACTCTTGCCACATATTCACATATATTGGCTCATACATAATTGAGATTTTCATCTTTATTTTTGTAGTTTTTTTGGCTGAAAGTATTTATCTAGGAAATGTGACATCAGCCCGACAGGATGGGGAGGGAGGGTTTATCAGCTGGTATCTAATGTACAATAATAGACAAGGGATGAAGGCTATATAAGTAAAGTAAAGGTAAAATTTTAAAGAGCACCTACATGTCATATTATTTAAACTGTTATTTTTTTTATAAAATAAATTCAACCTTTATTTTGTCGGTTTTCCCCAGTATGAAAAATATGAGATATCTGGAGCCTTCATCACTCGTCTAATTTTATACACTAGAGATACAGGCCGATACCCCCACTATATAAGCTAGGCGTACAGTTTATTATACTAGTTCCTGGGCTGAGAGTTATATTTATTTATGTGCGTTTAACAATGTATCCAAATCTTAAATATTTCAAAAAATACGCTATTTAAATTTAGTGAGTTTCAATATGAGACAACTCAGTTTATTGTGTCTCTTATATACGGCATTTGCGAAAAAAGAACAGAAGATAAAAAATACAATCTCACCATCTTCTTGTCCAATGAAGTTACCACATGATTGACGGCAACAACTTCATAACCGGCTGAAATAAACAGGACAGGTGAAATTAATTGATTTAATTTTTTATGGGCATCAAACTTACTAGAATAGGACACAAAACTCACTTTTGATAAGTGTTTTAATCGATTCCTGTAGGCTATTCTGGTCTTGTGTGTGAAGTAAATTCAGGTCATGAAATTTCGCCATATTTCGCCACAGACCACATTGTCACATGAGGGCGCTGTTATAAATTAAAGTTAAAGTTATCCAATCGAATAACTGCTTATAACGTTTGGCGGGGAGTACCATTTCCGTTTCCGGTTTGTAGTTGATATTACCTGCACTTTGATTGGTTCATTTCAAACTTAGTTCGAGCAGCGGTAAATCCAAAACCTTTACTGATGTCCGACTATTTTCTTGGGTTATAGAATTGTAGCAGCCCACTAATCTAATTTGTGTGATTTATAAAGGTAAGCATTCATTGTAGAAACTTGTTTTATCGTTGGTATTGACGTGAATAGTAGTACACTTCAAGTATCTTGTGCCGACTTTTCATCGTCACAAAGTCAGTGTTCAAAACTTCAATTTCAAAATTGAATGCAGAATTTTAGAAGAGATCGGAATTTCAGTGAAACCCCTAACTTGTCATTTCCTATGACGCGTACCTCAAGTTGAATTGTTGACTACGATAATAAACATTATAGGGAGACATTAGGGGTGTTTTCTCGGCAGTGCACCGACATAAACAAACGGAGGATTTCACTGTTCGCTGACACTGTCCTCGTCAAGCACTATGGACCACTGGCTGATATTTAAACTATAATGAACGACCCAACAACCCATAATGGGCGAAAGCTCACTTTGTGCGACATATATGTACGAGGCGTGAGCCGAGTACATATATGGAGCACAAAGTTTGCTTGAGTCCATTATGGGTTGTCGGGGAGTTCATTATTGTTATTATTTTGTAGCGTTGTCAATACCAGGGGATTTGCTGCCTCTAAAAAGCGAAAAAAATTGGAGAAAAATCTACAGTGGACGGAATAGTTTCACAGTTTCTGGCCCGTGAATCTGAATAATTTAAAATGTTTTTCTGGAAATTGTTTCCACAATCTCATATGGCCTTGCACTACACTACGCTAGATCGCCGCCGTGGTCCAGCTGGATCGACTGTGCGTAGGGTAGGGGTGCGTACACGGGGTACATGTACGTAGTTGCATCGTTACCCCATCCCACTAGTGTTTTCAAACAATCAAGGTAGATATTATTGGCAACTGTCCTGTCTGTGTAATAGTTATTTTAAATTCCACGGGAGGGCGGGGATTTGACGAATACTAAGAAGCCAAACGAAACTTACAGGCGTAGCGGGCCAACGAACATGACCGGAAAGCTAGTGGGTGTTAGCCATCCTAGAAGGAGAACCAACAGTGATTTTAATCTCACTGTATAAATAAACAGATACACACCTGAGAACACTGATACTTTCATTTATTTATGCAAACTGTGCCCGGACTGTTACATTTACCGGGAGTCAACGCCGAGGAAATACAAGTCACGTCGGTCATCGTGGATCTCGTTTCACAAAACTGTACTACGCCAGTATGGACACAGACCTGTTGTATACAGAGCTTGGACTACAACCAGACACTTCAGTTGGAGCGCTAACGAGCGAGTAACTCCGTTTATTTCTCAATGGGAAAACAGAACCAACATGGCGGGAAAAACACAATGAGAGAACAGAGCATGCGTAGCAAAATGTAAAGCAAACACAAGAGGGCATTAACATGATCATAAATACAATAAACACACATAGTGGCATAACCACTTATTGTCTTTAACTTACATCATTTTCGAAAAGACTAAAGAAAACGCATGAGGAAAAATGACAGGCTACATGATAATTCAAAAATGTTGTTGGAAAGACACAAAAAATAATCTAAACTGAATACAGACTTAAAAGTCCATGACATAGTCTTTTAGATGTTCCGGAAGCCGGCGGTTACGGCTTGATCGTCTATGTTGAACAGGCTGCATGACTTTTGGATTATTGTCAGCCAGGGATGTTGGGTCTCCAGGAGTCAACAATATTGGGTTGATTGAGCCAATACTTTGCGACTCAGTTTCTAAAGGAGTGTCAGTGCAACCTGTTGCCGGTGTTAGATCGGAAGGTATACTTGGTGGTATTGGTGGATGTGTTGGAGATAGTGGAGTTTCGTCTTCATCCAGATGATATGACATAGGGTTTTTATCGGTGTCTTTCGGAGAAGGTACGATATAACATTCCGACTCTTTGACACGGTATGACGTTTGCCTGAGTTGACTACCGCGGAACTTGCGGATGTTGCGCCATTGGCCATCG